GTTTCCTCTACTTATTAATGTTTTTCTATAATCCTTAGGCAGTTTTATTTATCTAGTACAATGATTTTTATATAGTTTCAAGACATTTGAAGATCCACTGAAGCCCAGTATGGAGCCTGGCTAAGTGACAGTACCTGTCCTGGTGGTGACAGTACCATATTTTATGTGGAGGGGAGCTATAGCTAAGCTCTTAATAGTCCTTTTTGTCTTCCAGTAAATTGCAAAGTAAATTCTCATCCCCAAAGATGACACTTTCTTTTCCCCAACAACAACCATCCAAAAAAACCCTCAGCTTTAAAACTTCCAAGCCATTCAACAAAGTAGCATGAGAAAGGGCTCCAAAGCCCACAAGAGTTACCCATACCACTTCCTTTTCTTCTTTCCAAGTTCTTTACAGTGTGTTCCCACTGGAAGAATGCCTGGCAGGCTATTTCCTCAAAAGTAAGAGCAGGCAACTCAGCATTTCTACCAGCCTTACTGATATCCTAGAGGAACTTGATGACACCTTCATTTGCCAGTTGAATGCCTTGATCCCTTCATTTGAGCTGTGAACATGCATGTTTTTTCACACTCATTACATCTCTTAAAGTCACACATCTAAATCCATGAGTGCTTCCAGTTGGGATTTATTATCACAGTATAACCATCCCTTACATTTGTATAGTACTTTACAAAGCACTCGTTATGTATTATAGTCACTATATTATAATCCTGTTTTGTTTTCTCTTTAGTCTTATAGAATCAGGCCCTTATTTCTATGTATTTAGTGTCACTGTTGACAAAGGCCACTGGACTCTGTTGTGATAGACTTTGATTGCACATATCAATAATAGTATTGATTTGCCTGTGGTTTTAGTTGCTGCATTCCACTTGCTTACCTTTGTCTCCTGTTGGCTGGCTTCCCGGCCACTATCCTAGTTGCCATCCATGGATCTACAGCAGAGCTACTTCCCTACTCCTGCCCCACACCAGGAAGACTTTGTTTACTGTAACTCTGGAGCACACTTGGCACCCTAGTTGGTTCTGCTCATTTATTCTCTTGCTGCTGCATTCAGTCTCAACTCTCTTTGTGGTTTGAATACTCTGGTTTGGGGAACCAGGGGTCTGGGTTCTTTCCTAGATTTCCTTTTGTGTACCAGGCTTATGCTTAGTACTTTGAACACAATTTTTTTCATATTCTGTGTTTCATTTAACTAAGAATGAATGAAGTTACCCTAGAATGGTAGTAAGGAGGATAAAATGCTAGAGGTCACCTGGTCCAATCCCCTAGTTTTACTTCTGAGGAAATAAACATGCCTAGGCTTCTTTCAGTTGTATCATACCACAGAAGTTTTAAAAACCCTTGGAGGTAAGCATTACTCTCCCCAGATAAACTGAGGCCTGGAGTACTTAGATGACTTCTGTGATGTTGTCACAGAGTCAGAGGCAGAAGGCAGCTGTTGAGTCAAATGTGCTGAATCTTGTCACCTCTGACAAGAACAACCAGGCCTGCTTGACCAGGAGAGTCACAGTTGAGAATGAATCCAATACAGCCAGGCTGTGCTCTGCTGACAGACTGAGTTTAGAGTCCAACTGCCTCCAGGACTGAACCAAGGCCAAACCCTAGAATAGCCTGCGGAAACACTCGCAGAGGGAGACATTACACTCAAACTTTTTGCTCTTTTTTTTTGTTTGTTTTGTTTTGTTTTGGTACTGGGAATTAAACCCAAAGGAACTCTACCAGTGAGCTATATCTGAGCTATATCCCCAAACTTTTTTTTTCCAGATTACATTTTTTATTAGAATATTATAATTAAACATTGTATTTGTGTTCCTTTTGACAAAATTATGCATATAAGGAATTTTATTTCAATCCCCATTTCTCCCTCTCCCTTTATCCCTCCATCTCTACTGTTCTTCTTTTCACTCCTTTATTTATTTTTGATTGGTACTTTCTACATATACATGAATGAGAAATTCCCTTTGGTGCATTTATATATCTATATATAATGTGATTCTGTTAGATTCTTAATATATTTTTTCCCTGCCCCTTCCTTTCTTCCTCCCTCTCATTCTTCTATTTCTGCTTCACTGATCTTCCCCGGATCTTTATGTTATCTGATCCCCTGCCCAACTCCTTTCTTTCCCTTGTTTTGTTTTAGCTTCCACATATGAGAGAAAACATTCAACCCATTCTCTTATTTCACTTAGCATGATTTTCTCCATTTCCATCCATTTACCGGCAAATACCATTATCATTCTCCTTTATGGCTGAGTGAAACTTCATTGGGTATATACCACATTCTCTTGATTCATTTATCTATTGACAGGCATCTGGATTTATTCTATAATTTGGCTATTGTGAATTGTGCTGCTATAAACACTGAGGTGACTGTGTTGCTATAGAATGTTGATTTTAGTTCTTTTGGATAAATACCAAGGAGGATAGCAGCTGGGTCATGTAGTGGTTCCATTCCTCATTTTTTGAGGAATCTCCACACTGCTTTTCCAAAGTGACTTATTTGCAGTCCAATCAACGATATATGAGTGTACTTTTCCCACATCCTTGCCAGTATTTATTATTTATTTTCTTGATAATTGCTTTTCTGATGAGTGAGATGAAATCTTAGTGTAGTTTTTATTTGCATTTCCCTAATTGTTAAAGATGTTGACAATGTTTTCATACATTTGATGGCCATTTATGTTTCATCTTTTGAGAAATTTCTGTTTGGTTCTTTTGCCCATTTACTGATTTTTTTTTTTTTTTTTGCATTGGGTTTTTTTAATTCTTTATATATTCTGGATATTGGTCCCCTGTCAGAGGAGTTGCTAGGAGAGATTTTTTTTTCCCATTTCATAGGCTTTCTCTTTACACTCTTAATTATTTTCTTTGCTGTATAGAAGTTTTTTAGACTGATGACATCCCATTTATAGATTCTTAGTTTTATTTCTTGAGCTTTAGTTGTCTTGAGGAAGTTGGTACCTGCACGTATATGGTAGAGTGTTAACCCTGTGTTTTCTTACAGCAGTTGCAAGGTTTCTGGTTTAATTCCTAAGTCTTTGGTCCATTTTGATTTGACTTTTGTGTAGGGTTAAAAATAGGGTTCCAATTTCATTCTTCTACATGTAAATATCCAGTTTTCTGAAAGAATTAACATTTTAATCCCTCAGAGGACAGTCTCCAACTTCCCAGACTCACTCAAAATTGGCCTTCTTGATCTTGATCCGACCTGACTCGATTTATCTATCTACACTGATAGCCTGTCTAATTCTGGCTTCAATAGTTTGACTTCTTCTTTTCCTGTTTGTATCTCTTTAATTTCATTCTCTTGCCTGGTTGCTCTGGCTAGAGTTTGAAAACTGTATTGACTAGAGTGAACACCCTTATCTTGTTCTTGATTTTAGAGGAAAATCTTTTAGTTTCTCTCCATTTGGTATGATGTTGGCTTTGAGTTTGACATATATAGCCTCTATAATGTTGAGGTAAGTTCTTTCTGTCCCTAATTTCTTCAGTATTTTTAACATGAATCATTGCTGATATTTTATCAAAGGCCATTTTTACTTGTATTGAGATGATCATATGGTTCTTGTTCTTCTATTTACATGGATAATTACATTTATTGACTAGTGTATGTTGAACCAACCTTGCACCCTTGGGATGAAGCCCACTTGGTCATGGTGGATTATCTTTTTATAGTGTTTTTGAATGGAGTTTGATAATATTAAGGATTTTTGTATCTGTGTTCATCAGGAGGTTGGGCTGTAGTTTTTGTTTTCCTAGATGTGTCTTTGTCTGGTTTTGTTATTAAGGTTATATTGGCTTTATAGATTGTATTTAGGAGTGTCCCTTCCCTTTAAATTTCATGGAATAATTTGAAACTGATGTTAATTCTTTTTTAAAGGTCCGTAAATCTCAGATGAGAATCCTGGGCTTTTCTTTGTTGGTAGGCTTTTAATTGCTATTTTGATTTCATTACGTGATATTGTTCTGTTTATGTTTTCTATATCTACCTGATTCAACTTGGGCAGGCCATATATGTCTAGAAATCTGTCACTGTCTTCCAGATTTTATAGTTTTTTGGAGTCTAAATTTTCAAAATAGTTTCCAGTGATCCTCTAGATTTCAGAAGTTTCTGTGGGCTTATTTGTTTGCAGAATCAGCTCTTTGCTGACCCTATGCATTATTTTTTGTTCTCAATTTTATTAATTTAGCTCTGATTTTTAAATTTCCTATCTTCTACTGATTTGGGGGTTTGGTTTGTTCTAACAAGTCTAGGCCTTGAGGTGGAACATAAGCTTATTTGAGATCTCTATTTTTTTTTTTTTTTTAATTAGGCACTCGATGCAAAAAGTTTTCCTTTTAGTACTGCTTTGTTATTCCCAACCCTTTTTATTTTTTATTTTGAGACAGGGTCTTGCTCCATCACTCAGGCTGGCCTCAAACTTGTCATCAGCCTTTTGAGTTGCTGGGATTATAGTTGTGCACCGCTGTGCCCAGCAGTGCTCAGACTCTTGATGCTCCCTGAGTTTTATAGGGAACCTCAGTGTTTTTAATCCTTTTGAAACCTAGAGGAACAAAGAAAAGAATCTCTTCATTTGGTTAGGATCTTGTGGACAGATGTGCAGTCTGTGCACTGCCTAACATAGAAAATACCATGTACACGGTAGACATAGATTTATGTTCATTATGGCCATTTTCCAGCAGGTAATGGTTGATTATTCTATTAGTTGATGCATTAGAGCACCTTTCCAACAGATGAAGAGAATACACACTAAGGCAGTACTATTTTCTCAGTAGCAAGGTTCAGGCTAGTGGCAGCCCTGCTCTTCACTCTCTGAACCTCAGTTTTCTCATGTATAAAATGAGTTGGACTAGATTGATAAGATCCATTTTGCTCTGACACTGAATGAGTCGTGTAAGGGCTGATGATATTAATTGAATGCTGTAGTCACAGCCCTTTGCAGGGTGCCACCCCTGCCCCTTTGCTCTGCCTACCCTTAACTCCTGTCTGTTTTTTAAGGAGGAGATACCCTACCAGTGAACTGAGACTACACTGAGCTAAGGGCACTATGGCCACATCAGCCCCTCTGCGGAGCCTGGAGGAGGAGGTAACCTGCTCTATCTGCCTCGATTACTTGCGGGACCCTGTGACCATTGACTGTGGCCACGTCTTCTGCCGCAGCTGTACCACAGATGTCCGGCCCATCTCTGGTGGACGTCCTGTCTGCCCGCTATGTAAGAAGCCTTTTAAGAAGGAAAACATCCGACCTGTGTGGCAATTGGCTAGCCTGGTGGAGAACATTGAGCGGCTGAAAGTGGATAAGGGCAGGCAGCCTGGAGAAGTGGCCCGGGAACAGCAGGACACAAAGTTATGTGAGCGGCATCAGGAAAAGCTGCACTACTATTGTGAGGACGATGGGAAGCTGCTATGTGTGATGTGCAGGGAATCACGGGAGCACCGGCCACACACAGCTGTCCTGGTGGAGAAGGCCGCCCAGCCCCACAGGGTAAGCCCTCCTCACTCGGGAAGTACCCTCTGTCTTCCTTGGGATGCTCTTCACAATACACACCTTCAGAGGCAAGGCCTGGCTAAAACCCCTCTGGTGGGTTCTTACTGGCCCAGCCCAGAGCACCCATCTGTCTCCACTGCTTGTTTCTCCATAGGAAAAAATTCTGAACCACTTGAGTACCCTCAGGAGAGACAGAGACAAGATTCAGGGCTTTCAGGAGAAGGGAGAAGCTGATATTCTGGCTGCATTGGTGAGTGGGCCTTTAGGAAGCCATGAGCTAGTCATCTATGTGGGGCTGGATGGGGAGGACAAAGTTGATGGCATTGAGGGGGTGTGGGAGTAGCTCAGGAGGGTGGGCGTTGTGCTAGCAGGGGCAGGCCTGGGCAGTAGCCCAAGCTCCATATGTATGCACCAGCTGTGTGCTTCAGACTTTAGACTTGCTTCTCATCTCAAGGTGAGTAGTTTGTCTGGATATCAACCAGGGTCCCTGCCCTCCTCATGACTCTCACCTTAGCTGCAGGGCACATGTTGGCAACTGTGGCCTTCTGCCAGGGAACTAAGGAAGACCTAACTTGCTTCATTCTCCATTTCAAGGAACAGAGGAGAGATGTGATTTCCTGAGAGTGAAAGGCAGCCAAGAGGGCTTGGGAGGAGAGAGCTGGCTGCAGGGTAGGAGCTGAGAAGGAAGGGTGAAGAAGGCTGAAGCTGTCTAGGGAGGCCCAGTAGGTGGTTAGTGGATACAAAACTGGTAGCACTTTAGAGGTGGGTCAGGAGGGAAAAAGCTGACAAGATGGTTCCAATTTTCTGGGGGATTGTATGTACTGGGAAAGTAGACAGTAGAAGAATGTTGGGGCAGGACCTATAGCAAGTGACTAGGCCCTGGGAGATGGAGAAAGTAAACCTGAAGATAGCCCAGGTCCAAGGACCATCTGAGGGCCCCAGTATGCATGGATGCCTGCTGGGGGACTAAGGACTCCAACCAGACCCCAGTCCAGCCTCAGCAGGAAAGGACATGGTCCCTGAGCAAACATTCTGTTTTCACTGAGGAAACATGATACAGTCCTGCATGACAAGGAGCGGGTGCACGTAGACCTTTTATACGTTATGTTAAGATTCTGAAGGAAGGACTGAGCAGGCTTGATGATATTAATCAAGCAAAAGCAACACAGAGATTTTGTCCAAGAAGGAGAAATGTGTTAGCTCATGAATAGGACATACAAGAATAGATAGTGGAATCAGTTCTGGTTGTGGTAGCAGAGTGAACTGGATTGATTTACTAGTCAGGTCTTTTGAGAATATTAGGGTAGACCAGAGCACTTAATAGCTTCTCTCATCTCAAGGGTTGTAGAGTTCACAAAGGGGAGTAATGAGGGGGAAAAGCTAGCCAGTGCACCTCTAATGCTGAGTCCTGGAGGTATTCTACATCCCAAGATGGAGGTGTCAGCCTTCTCCCTTTCTTCCCCTGCAGAAGAAACTGCAGGAGCAGAGGCAGTACATTGTTGCAGAGTTCAAGCAGGGCCACCAGTTCCTGAAGAAGCGGGAGCAGCATCTGTTGGACCAGCTGGCCACCCTAGAGCAGTTGCTCACAGAGGGTAGGGAGAAGTTCAAGACCCGGGGCGTAGGGGAGCTTGCCCGACTGGCTCTGGTCATATCTGAGCTGGAGGGCAAGGCACGGCAGCCAGCTGCAGAACTCATGCAGGTGAGTGACCTCACAGGGCAGGGAGCTGGGAGACTGAGGGTGTGTCCCGGCCTGCCTCTACAGCATAGGACCATGGGAGAATTGCTTTCTTATGGTGCCTCAGTTTTCTTACCTGAAAACTGCACCTCATCTGAAACATGGAAATAGTAATCATATCCTCCCCTCTTATTCCAAGGGTTATGTGAACATAAAGTGAGATAACTGACATGGTGTCACTTCAAATAATAAATAGTTTACAAAGAGTATCTAAATAGTTAAAGTGTGCTATAGAAGTGGAAGTCAGGGTTATCAAGATCATCATTACCATGCTCATCACTACCCCCTGGAGCCCTCCTTGTGATAAATTATCAGTAGATACTTGTTTGGTGACAGCTTAATGTGGTTTTGGGATGAAGAGTGGGTTCGTGGCTGGGGTCCATGACAGCAGCTCTTGTCATGGACCCATAGTGTCTGGGAGGGATAGGCAACTGGGGGAGGGAGACATAGATGATGAATTATCCTCAGAAAATAAGGAGAAGAGCAGGTGAGGTGTCTAGGGATACTTCCTGGAGGGGGTGGCTTTGATTCTGAGAGTAGGTTGTCAGATTAAAATGACTCCACATTGCCTTCCTCCTGGTACTTCTCAGAGAAGTCACTACCCTGACTCAGTAGCCTTTGGAGGGACAGAGGGCTCCATCTTTCCATCCTAATTAGCCAGGAAAGGAGCCATCTCGTGGTTTCCCCCCTCTTGCATGGTTTAGGATGACTGGGCCTGTCTGTCAGCAATGGAACCACCAGGAACTCTAGGATAATGGGATAGCCCAGTAGCAAAGTAAGTTCCCCCATGTGTGCCAGCCCAGGCAGCATAAAGAGATGGCCTCTTACTGCCTCTCCCTGCTGTGGATTTGGACATACAAAAGAGGACGTGCAAGGACTTCGCTCTTCTAATTCAGCCTCTACTGGCAAAATCACTGAGGTCTGGTATATAGAACGGATTTATGCCAGGCCATGGGGCAGGTCAGGATTAGGGTTGAATTCAAGCCTGGATGTTCTGACTTCCAGGTTCTCTGCTCTTGTTCTTTTCTCTCATTTTGTCCAAATGTGTGTCTGGCCCCCTCCTTTCCTCCAGATGTCATTCTGTTCCCTCAGATTTCTTTTTTGTAGGCTCTTTGGGTCACTTGTTCCCCCTCTTCTTCCCCTTCAGGGAAGCACATCCTTTCTTCCCCTAGCCACCCACACCACATGTAGATACTTGGTTCCCAGTGTTGCAGAGAGAGACCCAGGGCTGAGGGCACTAGTAGGGCTGAAACCTGATCCATCCCAGGAGTTGCCTCAAGGCAAAGGCACTGCTTTCACTGATTCAGAGCTTTCTGAAATTCTCCTTGCCATGGGTCAGGGAACCAGGAGAAAGGGGATGTCTGCTTAAAACCAGCACATGAAATATTGGCACTGGTGGGATTTTTTGTGTGTTCAGGTTTGGTTTGACTGCAAGGAAACTGAATAACTAATTCCTTAATTATTGTTAGTATTTTCCCAGAGATTATTTGACTATTAAGGGACAGCAAGAAAAAGAACCAAAGCAGGGTCCAGAAGTCTAATAGAGAAGCAGAGGTGAGAAGGATCAGTAGCAGGATAAAGTACATGAAACAGAGACCTTTGATAAAGGGAATGGAAGAGGAAAGAGTCCCTGGGCTGGGAGCATCAAGAAGATAGTAAAGGGTCAGGGGAATAGAACCCCAGTGTCCCAGAGGGACACTGACCTCCTCCCAGTCTGGCCCACAGTGGATCTTGCATAGAAAGTTTGCACCTGTGCTTCTCCCACTGTTGGTCACTGACTATACCCATGAAGACCCTTGCAAGTACTCTCTGAAAATAACCAGATAGTCTAAGGAAGCCAGCTTGTTCCCTCTCCATTCCCATTTACTACTCTCTTCTCCATAGCATATATCACTTACTAACATAATATGATATTTGTTGCTTCTTATCTGCTCCCCCTGCTAGGATGTCAGCTCTACACAGGTAGGGATTTGTGTCTCTTTCTCTTTTATTGCTGTCTCCTAAGCTTCTAGAACAGTGCCTGATATATAGGAAGCACTGAATAAAGATTTGTGGAATAGATGAAGGAAAGCAAAAATCAAATAATGCAAAGTACTATGGAGGCTTTAAACTCACAGAAGAGGATCTAAACAGTGTTTCACAAGCACCCCACCCCTACTCACCCTATCCCACCACCAGTCTTTTCCTCATACAGACAGCACCACTTTCTTCCCTGCTGCTCAACCAAGGCTTATCCTCAGTTATCCTTGCCTATTTTAATCCCTTGAGTCTATCTCCAGAACATTCCTGGAATGTGCACCTTCTGTCTCCACTGCCACCTCCCTAGTTCAGGCTGTCTTCCTCCCTCTCTGGTCTACAGCAGCACCTCCCAGCTGACCATCCCGTATCACATTGCCACCCTTACTGCATTCTCCTCAGGGCAGCTAAGTGATTGGTCGCTTAGGGTTTGGGCCAGTTGCTGTACAGTAGCTCAAATAAAACGGAAGTTTATTTCTATGAGGGTCTATAGAGGTATCCATGAGGTCATCCAGGAAGCTGGATTTCTTCCATCTGGTTGTTGCACCAGCTTCTAGTGATGTTGTCCTTAGCAATGTGGTGAAAGTTGGGTTCATCACCACCGTGTGGAAATTTAGTCAGGAAGAAAAGAGAAACTGAAAGAAATTTTCTTTCTTTCTTTTTTTTTTTTTTTTAAAGGACTTGACCCAGAAATCATAGTCATTGCTTTCTTTCATATCCCATTGGCTGGAACTTAGTCACATGACTAGACATGGTTATAGGAAATCCGGGAAATGTAGTTTTCAGGATAGCTATATGCCCATGTGTAACTCAATGGGTTCTGTTGCTAAAAAGAAGACGACACAGTGGGTCCTGAAAGACACTTTGCAGTCTCAGCTGCATGTAAAGCAGATCACATATGTCATCCTTTTGCTTGAACCCCTTTCCACTGTACGTTGAAGAAATTCATACTCCTACCACCCATATCCATCCCTGCATGATCTGGCCCTGCCTCCTTTTCCAAGCCCTTTCCCATTTTTTTCTTACCAGTCATGTGGCTAACACTTTCTTGTTCTTCATACCCTAGCTCGTGTGTTTCCTTGGAGAGGTTAGCCCTGCCATCCACTAGTCGCTTCTGTCATTGTGATTATTTTGTTTGTTATCTTATTTTATCCAATGCTCCCACTACAGTATCAGTTCCATAAGGAAGGGGCCACATTGATTTTGTTTACTGAAGTGCCCCACCTCTAATGCAGTACTAATTACATGGGAATGCAGTCTTATTTGACTCACATTGGTGCTTATGTTTTTTTTTTTTTTTCCTTCCAGGATACCAGAGACTTTGTGAATAGGTAAGATTTTTCTTTCTGTATTGTACCTCATTCCCCTGTACCTGTGTCCCCTCCCTTCTTCTTTGTCCTGTTCCATGTGAACCAGTGAGGAGTGATCAACCTGATGGTCTTGTGGGAAACAAAAGCATGATCTGGAGGACTACAGATTCCTTTCCCCTGAGCATGTCTCTGAGTAATTCCAGCTTCTTGTAATCACTGTCCTTGTAGAAACCTAACTTAGACAGAAGCCCTTGTATGTGGAATCTGAACTTAAGTCCTGACTCAGGTAGTATTTCTGGGCCTCTGTTTTTGTGTCTCTTGATTGGAGACACAAAATAATCTGACCTTTCCTGCCCCTTTCATAATTGTCATGAAGATTAGGAGAAAAGTAAGAAGAGCCAAATCACAGGTTGTCATGCCTGTTATCTTCTCAGGTATCCACGGAAGAAATTCTGGATTGGGAAACCCATCACTCACATGGTTAAAAGAAAGACTGGAGAATTCTCAGATAAACTTCTCTCTTTGCAGCGAGGCCTGAGGCAATTCCAAGGTAAGGGTTGAGGAGAACATCAGGGCAGGAATCAGGGGGGGCCACCACATAGAGAGAGAGCCCTTGGCTTCTCCCCATCATAATCTCAACCTCCCTCTTTTGAGGGCCTCCTGATTGTTTTCACTTTTATTCTTAGGGTCTCGGGGATGGAGCTGTATCACAAAATTAGTACCAGCCAAGTAAGAAATGGACCCATACATTTGCTAGGCTTGAAGGTCATCACTATTTTTTTTTTCTCCCCAGGAAAGCTGCTGAGAGACTTGGAATATAAGACTGGTGAGTTGAGTGTATAAAGAGTTTTCCCAGATTCATCTCAGTTAAAGGAAACTCCCCCTACAGAAATTTTGGCTGCCGCCTGTCAGCCCAGGTAGCCCCCCTAATTTCCCAGCTGCAGTCTTGAAGCCCCATTCTCCTTGCATTTTCTGGCCAATCTTCTACTCTTTAGTCTGCCTTAGGGCCTCTGCTTGGTGTTGGAATGCTCCTCTGCCCCATGTTATTCTGTCCTCACAGGTATTACCACCAGTCTTTTCCCTGTGGCTAAGTTTCTTCTTGTCTGCCTGACCACGTGGTCCTGTATTTGGAGCAAATAGCAGTGGTGGCTCAAGGTCAGAGGCCATCCCTGCCAAGGCCAGTGCTATGCTCCCTCTCAGCCCTGCTGCCAGGTTGCGCACTGCATACTTCTAAGGGATAGAGCAAGATGTCAGTAGCAGCCCTTGGATTATGTAGTGTGGCAGCCTTTCCATGGATACCATCAAGACCCCTTCAGTTATGCAGTGTGATAGCCCTTTTCACCTTGCCACTTACAGTTACTTCTTCCCTTGTCCCCACAGTAAGTGTCACCCTGGACCCACAATCAGCCAGTGGGTACCTGCAGCCATCAGAGGACTGGAAGAGTGTGACCTACACCAGCCTGTACCAGAGTGTCTACCAGCACCCCCAGCAGTTTGACTGTGAGCCAGGAGTGCTAGGCAGTAAGGGTTTCACCTGGGGCAAGGTGTACTGGGAAGTGGAGATAGAGAGGGAGGGCTGGTCAGAGGATGAAGAGGAGGGGGACGAGGAGGAAGAGGGGGAAGAGGAAGAGGAGGAAGAAGAAGCTGGCTATGGGGATGGATATGATTGGGAGACAGATGAAGATGAAGAATCACTAGGGGATGAAGAAGAGGAGGAGGAGGAAGAAGAGGAGGAAGTTCTGGAAAGCTGCATGGTGGGGGTGGCCAGAGACTCTGTGAAGAGGAAGGGAGACCTCTCTCTGCGGCCAGAGGATGGGGTGTGGGCGCTGCGCCTCTCTTCCTCAAGCATCTGGGCCAACACCAGCCCTGAGACCGAGCTCTTCCCAGCACTGCGGCCCCGGAGAGTGGGCATCGCCCTGGATTATGAAGGGGGCACCGTGACTTTCACCAATGCAGAGTCACAGGAACTCATTTATACCTTCTCTGCCACTTTCACTGGGCGCCTCGTCCCCTTCTTATGGCTCAAGTGGCCAGGAACACGCCTCTTGCTGAGACCCTGAGCCTAACACCTGTTCTCAGCCCCACACCCGTGGATGTGTCACTTCTCTGAGATCCCAGGACTCTGATAGGGGAGGTGCCTGGCCAGAGCACCTGGAGCAGGGCAGAGGAGGAACCCCATGGCCACTGCCACGCACCTCCCCATCACGGTGGCCCTCAAGACTTCACTCAGTGCTGTCACTCTGTCTGTAATGCCCTCATCAGGCTCTTCTGCCTCTTGCTGGTTTCCTGTGGGACCTTCTGACCCTGAAGTACTTGAGGGCTCCCTTTCTCCTTTTTAACTACCCTATGCTCTTATCTTTGTGCTCTCTTTGTTGAATAAGGGGCCAAGGAAGGATTTTCTGGTCCAATATGGCATCCTGCGCCAGCTAGTCTTGGGAGGGACCATCATTTACACCTGAGACCCATTTTGTTGCCCTCAAACCCCTTAGGTTTCCCTTGCCAAAATTCACTCAGCTGTCCACCTTCCCTGGCATTTTAAACAAACCTGCTCCCACCTCAGCTCATATTTAAACATACATGAAAATGCTAGAAATAAACTGAAAAAACACAGAGACTTCCCAGGCCATTTAGGTTGGCTGCCTGGAATGCTGGTAGGAATTATGTTCTCACAGAAGGTTCAGGACAAAGTCCTTTAAAATCAAGCTGGGTGTATGAGGTTTCCATAGCTAATAGGTGGGACTCCCAGAGCCTTGGGGGAAGGCTTTGGGATAACAACTGTGATAACAAGAAATCAACTGTGTGGATTGGTCCTTGTGAGGGGACTTTGGGGTAACATCTGTGATAACAAGAAATCAACTGTGTGGATTGGTCCTTATAAGGGGAATTTTTTTTAAAAGATCTAGAACATCTTGTTCTTGATTCCTATATCTAAGAACACCAGAGCAGATGCCCAAGACAGCAAATCCTCCCCTGCTAAGGGGACTCTCATCATTTTTTCCAGGGGTGTTAGGCTTCTGTCATTGGCCACTCAAGAGTTCAAGCTCAATTCTCTGGAGTGGAGGGGAAGACAAAAGCTGTGAGGAAAGGGAAGGAAAATAGGAGTCCACATCAAGCCTTTTAGATCCTCGTGTCAGGGAAGAGATCAAGGTATCTCCTCGCTGCCTGTGGATCCAACCCTTGGTCCAAATGCCCCTAGTTCCCACAGTTTAACACAAGCTCACTGCTCTAGCCAAAGTGTTGTCCCAGTTTTTGTCCTTACCAATTTAAGTGTTCCACCAGTCCCCTGCTTACCCAAGCATTGATTCCTCCCCTCTGGAGGATTGATTGCTCCCTTCCACTCTGGTTCTCAGTGGTCTCTTAGCCACCATATTGTCCCAGAGTGGCCTACTTTGTATGTATCACATGCTGCCTGAGTCACATGTACATCTTATTTCTGTATCTAGTTTGTAAGCTCCTGAAGGGTGGATATCATCCCTTAATACTTCTCTTATAGTCTCCATGGCACCTAGTGCCGTGCTGGGCACAGAGTAGGTGCTCAATAAAGACTTGTTGAATGAACAACCTGGAGATAATGTATATATTTATTATGACATAGAGGTCACCATACTTATTTTGGCTTCAAAGAGCTTCTATTGATACTAATATCCCAGAGTTTTCCTTTGTTTCTAGAACTCTTGACTGCTTTCTATCTTCTCTGCACACATACTATCCTTTCTGCAAATCCCCAAAGAAGAGCCTTCCATAGACACAGATGGTTTCACCTTGTTCTTCCTCTCCTGTAGTTCCTTCCTTGAGCTAGGTCTAGCAGTAAGTGATCCACCTTGAGAAGGGTGGTAGCAGCTGGTATACCCATATTCTTGGGAAATTGATGCCCCCAAGAAAATGCCATCTATAGCCAGTCTTGGCTGCATTCAGTATTTAGCCACTTCTAAATTTTTGAAATTGCCATTTTAAAGACAGAAACAGATTCTACAAAACTACCTCTGAGATGACACTAATAGCAAAGAGCATATTTCCTCCCTGTACTCCCATTTGGGGACTCAAATTTTCCATTTTTATTTTTTAATGTGCATAGTTTAGTATTTTATGAACTATGCCTACATAAATGATCAACTTTCTGTAGTGCTTCCAAAAAGAGCAATCCCCTACTTCATTCCTCTCTCAATAAACCTGGTTCATCTTTTTAAGCAGACTATTAGTGTTTATTTTCATTTCTTAATAACTTGAGTTTAGGGACTTATCCCCTGATTTCCCATTGTAAGGGAGGAAGATTTAGTTTTCTGCCCTCAGTGTACACACTTTCCCACCTATCCCCAGCCCTTCAATGTGGTCCTAACATTGAATAAGTAACCAGTCTGTCCATTATTATGTCTGAGTTCTTGCACAAGTTTTTGTCTTCCCTGGAGTCAATAACTGCTCTCCCTACCACTTCTGCTTTATTTCCTGTGACTTTATTACTACTCTAACCCCTCCCCAGTTGCTAAAGATCTCAAGATGCTCTTATAATTTTGTCTGATGCCTCTCTTCTGAAGCCTCCTGACCTTGAATCTGGAGCCATTGCTCCCTCACCTGTGCACAGCTTCCTGCATCTCCCTTCAACATCATATTGAGGATCCTGGGTTGGCTGCATTTCTTTGTCTTTTGTCTTCCCTCCTAATTTACTTCATTTTGATGAAACATCATCTAGTAATTTCCTGAGTAAAGGTACCTGTAAGTTAAATCTTTTAAGTTGAATATCTGGAAATATCATCCCACTTTCACAATTAAGAGTTTTGCTAAGTAAAGGATTCTTGAGTGGAAATAATTTTACTTAGGAATTTCAAAGGATGGCTCCACTGCCGTCTGGCTTCCATCTTTGCTGTTGAGAATTCTTGTGGACCTTGGTTCCTGATCCTTTGATTGTGACATGCTGTTTACTAGAGGTTTGGGGGTTTTATCTATGTCCTCACTTAGATTTCTTGATGTGCCTTTGTATGTTTTTCCCCCTCCTTGTGCTGTATAACTCAATGAGCCTTTTGTGCAAGAGATTTATAGTCTTTTGGTTTGGGGAAATTGTATTGAACTATTTCTCGATTTTTCCCTCCATTTTTTACCTGTTTTCTCAAATTGATTATCTCCAGCCTTCACATACCTCCTGAGTGCATTTATAGAGTACCCATGATATGCCAGAACATTTCTAGGTTATAACAGTGATAAGGGTAACAAAGTTCTGCACTCGTGGAGTTTATATTCTACTGGAGGGAAATAGGCAAATAAGTTAAAGTAAAAAATAAAACAATAATTAGCACCATGGTAAATAGCACTGTGACAGATAGTGACCTGATTATTTTATAATGGGTGATTAGAAAGGTGTTCTCTAAGAAGATGTCATTAAAGCTGTCTTGAGTAGTAGAAAGGAAGGAAGAAGGTGACACCAAGAATGCTGATGTCCTAAGGCAGGGACAAGTGGAGTGCAGAAAGACAGTGTCTGAAGTTTGGTTATGGAAGAGCAGAGAGAGCGCAAGAGATGGAGGTGGACAGGTAGGCAGAGATGAATTCCAGGGCTTTGGGGACCATCCTAAGAGTTTGGATTTCATTTCTTAGTGCAATGAGATGCAACCAAAGCATAAGCAGAGGACTAACATTCAATAAGCAAGTATTGTGCACCTGTTATGTGCCAGGCACTGTTCTTGGCACTTGGGACACATTCCTTTCCTCAAGAAACTTACATTCTAGAAGGGAGTGACAGACAAGAAAAGTAAGTAAAATGAATACAAAATTTATAGCATGTTAGAAAATAAGTGCAATGGGCAAAGAAAAAAAATCTAATCTGTTTATTTGAAGAAATGAATACAAGGGAGGGCTTAGGGAATCTAGAAATAAGGCTTTTGCAAAATGGTGGTTTTGACTTATGTGATAGAAAAAAATGAATGTGAACATGTTTTGAATATGTTTTGATGTTAAGGTCAACAGGACTTGCTTGGAAATAATCAGAAAAAAAAAGAAATGAACTGGGGTTTTGAATAAGGAGACAGATGAAAGTTAAGAAGTAGGTTTAGGAGCAGTAGTAATAAAAGTCAACAGTTCTGTTTTGCTTATGCTACATTTGAGATAATCCACTGGGCATCTAAGTGGAGAAGTCAAGCAGTTAATTGACTATAAGAAATCAGGGCTGGAACAACTGGATTGGGAGGATAGGTAGACAGATGCCACTTAAATTCATGGAATGAGTGTGAAGATCATAACTATAATGGGTCCATACTGATCCTTGGCCTTTGATGTATAGATTGGCCAGGCAAAAAAGCTGGCAAAAGGAATAGAAGCCACAGCCAGTTGGGCAGAAAGAGGCCAATAGTAGAAGAGAAGAGCCGATGTTTAAAGGAAGGTATGGCCAACTATGGTGCTCCTGAGAAGTCTTGGAGGTGACAGTAGGAAAGTGATGGCTTTGGCCATGTGGAGAGGATGGAAGATGAAATGGAAAAAACAATTGTAACATTAAAAAAGTTTTAGCAGAAAATGGATGCTAATAGTTGGAACACTAGATGGAGGGCCTGTGGACTGTGTCATATATGGTACCCTCTGCACCCTACCCTGTCCCCTGAAAGGATGATCTCTGTGGAATGTATTAACCAGGGTCTCTTGCCCTCTTTCTTCTAATTGGGCTTAGCTAATGCATCATACCTGCAGGAGATCTAAGGGTGGGAGCAGAGAAGCTGGTGTTCATTCCCCTTTTTGTCCTTTGCCAGGAGTTGGCTAATGCTATTCTCTTCTATCTTAGGCCACAGCTCCTGTTGGAGTCACAGGTCTCCAAGTTCCATCGCTGCTTCTCCCTTACCCTTTCAGAGCTGGGGTCAGTAACTGCACTTGCCAACCCAGGAATGCTTCGCTGTTCCTTGGTTTGCCTTAACCCTACATGCATCTTTTTAAATAGTTCCTCCATTAAATTCTCCTTAATTACTCCTTTTGAGCAGTGGTCATGGTAACAAATTAACTTTCAGGTGGGGGCAATGGAGGAAAAGAGGAGGAAGGTGGAAATGAGACACTGCTGGGTTGAGTGTTTGTGGAACTAAGGAGACTGCTTGTGCTACACATTTTTTAGGAGGATGAGCAAAGAAGGTTCCTTAAAGCCTGGTTATATTTACATTAAATTCTGTGAGAATAAACATAATGAGATAAGATGTAATTATTGAAGTAATCTTTGGGGTGTGATGAAGAGAATGGAGGGAAGAGAAGGAATGGAGAGCATGCTTGACATAGAAGTAATAAGCTGGTTCCCAATCTAGCTCATGGACTTGAGAGACAGTTCTTGAAGAATCTTCCCGAAGGAGTCAGGAACACTTTTGAATAAAAGAAGATTGAATGATGAAATGATGACAAAAGTGCGCTACCGCTTGAGCCACATCCCCAGCCCCAAAAAAATTGTCATAGACTTGTTCTTTCATCTCAATATTTATACCTCTTAGGTCTCTTAATTACCTAGGACCTCCAGTGCAAGGTTGAACAGCAGTCATGATGTCATTCTCATTTTGTTCTTGTTTTTTAATGGGCTGCTTCTATTTTTTAGTTGGAATTATTAAGTATGTTCAATTTGATGTTTGATAGAGTAAGAAAGTTTTAATTCCTAGTTGAAACATTTTCATTAGGAATGAGTATTAAATTATATCAAATGCCTTTCTATTTATATTCAAACAACCATCTTTTTTTCCTCTTATTAATGAATGACATTAATGAATATGTTAGATCATTTTTTCTATTTTGGGACAACAATCATTTAATTTCTGCTTGATTTCATTTATTAATTTTATTTAGAATTTTATGTTTATATTTAAAATAAGGCCAATTTTTTTTTTTTTCTCTACATAAAGTGATTTGGTAAGCAGAAATTATCTTCTTTTTCTCCCAAAGTTTTCACAAAATTTGCCCACAAATCAACATGGACATGGTGTTTATTTTTGTTGGGGGGTGGGTTCAGGGGAGAAGGTATTAAATGTTTTATTTCTAATTTTACTTAATGAATGGTTATAGATCTATTTAGGTTTTCCATGTCATCAGGAGTGAATTTGAATAAGTCATTAATATAAGGTTCTGTTTTTTGTTTTTTGGTGGTGCTGGGGATTGAACCCAGGACTTTGTGCCTACAAAGTGAGCACTCTACCAACTGAGTTACATCCCCAGCGCAATATAAGGTTCTTTTTTAAATTTTTTTTTAACATTTATTTTTCAGTTTTCGGTGGACACAACATCTTTATTTTATTTGTATGTGGTGCTGAGGATTGAACCCAGCGCCCCGCGCATGCCAGGCGAGCGCGTTACCACTTGAGCCACATCTCCAGCCCAATATAAGGTTCTTAACAGTGTATTTGGTCCTTTTTTTAAAAAAAATTTCTATTTTTTTTTATACTTTTACTGTATCTTGGTCAATTTTGCTGAAGATTTGCTATATTGGTAATCTTTTAAAAAACCAAGTTTTCATTGTTGTTGAATGTTTTGATTATCTTCTTTATTTCACTCATTTTTGTTCATCTCTCTCTTCCTCTTAACTTTTTTTAGGCTTTATTGTTTTTAACTTACTGAGCTAGACATAGTTTAATTTCACTATTTTTTCCTCCAACATATATGTCTAAGACTGAATTTCTTATCTAAGTAATGCTGTGTGGACTAAAAGTTATGTCCACAAAATTCTTTGATACTCTTCTTCCTCTTTGATATTCCTTCCATCTGTACTCAAGAGGGAGAGGAGCTGGAGGATAAGAATTTTATATTCTTTCTTTCTCCTTCATATACTTCACTCCTACCACTTTTATTTCTTCACTAATATATTTTTCCAATCTCCCATTCACCCAATGTACCTATATTTTAATTTTCATTTGTATCAATATCAGATGAATAGTATATAAATATTGAGAGATTCATGTACAAAATTTTCCTTTTTTGAATAATTTTCCCCTATCTTCTGCCCTCTAAATAACCTATTAGTCATTTTGTTCATCTGTGTACACAGTCAATTTAAATAAATGTGTAAATGTTGTACAAAACAACAACAAAATAAAGAGGTAGAGGGGTTGAGGGTGTAGGTGAGTGGAAGAGCCTGCACTTAGCACACGCAAGGCCCTGGGTTCAAGCCTCAGCACCAAAATAACAAAGTGGTAGAGCTTAATTCTGCCTTCCTTGAGTATTAGTTGGACTTAGTGACTTAATCCTGACACATGGAAT